GCCGCGCTCCTCTGGGGACAGCGAGGCAGCGTTTCCCGTCCTTCGGTTTCAAAACGGCACATTCACCTTGCTCTCCCCCAGCCCCAGTCCACACTAAGGGCACTTTTTTCTGTTGTAAACATGCATTCAGGTGCTCAAGTCCCTACAAAACGCCGCCAATTCCTGGCGCGTAATTAAACTACCGCCCCGAGCCGCCCCGCCCCGCCCCTTGGAGCCCTCCGGCCGCAGCCGAGGCTGGGCGTTCGGAACGCCAGATTCGACAGGCAAAGGCCTCGGGTAGCGTTCTAGAAGCTGGAAGAGAACCATTCCCTCCACCTTTCGCTTTTAAAACAGAAAATAAAATTCAGTGAGTCCGCAGGACTATACAAGGGCACATACTTTTTTCCCCCATTCTGTTTGAAGTCCGGCTCTTAGACCGGAACTAGCCGATTCGACACGGCCCTGAGGGCGGGAAGCAGTCCCGCCAAGACTGGAAAGGTAAAGGAGAAGGGATATATATCCTCAGGCTTTTAAAAGTTGGGGGTGACTGTTCATGGCTTTGGCTTGTACACAAATGCAGTCATTTGTCGCCCTGCCGTGCTGAAAGTGCGGGCGCGAATGGATTGCCAGCAGAGCAGGGGGAGGACGGGAAGGGGGGCGCTCGGGGAGCGGACGCGGCTGTTCCCCGGGGTGGCAGGTGGGCTGCGGCGAGCATCCCCGGGGGCCCGACTTCCGTCTTCAGAAGGGCAGGGCTGTGATTGCTTTTATGGGGCGGGCTGTGCTGGCAGCTCATTCGCTCCCGGCCCTGGAGTGGGGAAAGCCCCGCTCTCTGGCCTTGCAGCCTCCCGCGTGCCCAGGGAAGGTAGAGCCCGCGGGAGGCCATGGGCAGGTGAACCTTGTTCTGAGGCCAGTGGAGAGAGGGCCGGCCACCTCCAGGGCTGACCACCCAGGTGGCCTCGAGTTAGGAAGGTGGCCTCCGTGCAGGCAGGCACGACTTCACGTGTTTGGATGTTTGTTTATCGTGCAGAGTTTGTTCATTGCCGCCGGAGGAAGACGGTGGACTGACCCAGGAAGCTGGAGTTGAATATCCCGGCGTCATGGACGAGGGCAATTACGTTTACTGGGAATCACACACTGCTTTGATTATGGGGTGACTCGTCTTAATGAGCAAACTGAGGTAGCCATTGAGTGTTTGCAACACCTGCCAAACCAATTGCCCAGGGACTGTCGGTGGATTTGAGAATTATTTGGACAGTTGTCCAGTGGAAAGAGAACTGATAGCAGCTTTATAACGCTTTTTGCAAAGCTCGTTCGAAGACTCCCATTAATGCTTAATTTTCAAAGTATTACTGATTTTTATTTTTATGAATCAAGACCTGGAAAAGGCCCAGTGTCTGAATGAAATATTAGCCACAAAAAAATAGAAAACTTATCAGATGCTACCCCTGTGATAGTTTCTCTTAATTTTATTGTAGTAGGTGATCTCAGGTATAAGGTTTATAGTTTGCCAATATACTCATTACCAGACCTTTAGATTCCCATCAAGTTAGTCAGTGTTTTAGGTTGTTTTTATTTTCCCCAGCAAAATAATTTCATTGAAAAATTTTTGTAACAACAAATAGACTCTCCGTGTACTTAAGATTAGTGCTTCTTTAATGATAAAAATTATTTTGCCATGTTAGAAGACACTTTTTCGGAAGAAGACATCTGGGAATACAAATCCAAAAGGAAACCAAAACCAGTACATGCAAATAATTGCCCTGAGAATATTCCAAAATCTGTAGAAAAAGCAACAGATGGCAAATACCGGTCTAAGCGTAACAGAAATAAAAGAAAAACTGTGGAAGCTAAAGAGAAGGCAGAGGACCCTGAAGTGTGCCTTGGAGTAACAGGTAGTCAGACTTCTATCGTTTCTAGTCAGGGTTCGAGTTGTGGAGATGGTACCCAGCAATCCCAAGGCAAGACCACACCAGGAAAGCACTGCAGGGCTCACAAAACCAAACAGGTGTCTCCAAAGATCCGTCCAGTGTACGATGGATACTGCCCAAACTGCCAGATGCCTTTCTCCGCGTTACTAGGTCAAACACCTCGATGGCATGTCTTTGAGTGTTTGGATTCTCCGCCACTCTCCGAAACAGGTAAGACTACAATAAAAGATAGCGGTCTTTAAATGGGCCTGCAATAGGCCAGTCATATCAGTGCAGTCAAGCAAGGGAAGCAATAAACTGAGAGGAGACACTCTAACCCTAGAAGCAAACAAGATAAAAGCATGTGTACTCTTCCTGAGAAGGTAAAAATACAACAGCCAGAGGTATAATTGTAAAGAATGTTGCAAACTTGAAAACAGTCCAAATGAATTTTATTTTATAAAAGTCCCTAAACATCTCAATTATTTTTCATAAATGCTAATTGAGCACATATGCTAGATACTTTCACTTGCTTCATTTGACTCACAACAACTGCACAGGTAGGTGGTATTGACATTTCATAGATGAGAGTTCTTAAAAGTTAAACAACTTGTCCATTTTGTTATCTTTTTATGAAGCAGAGTTTTAGAGACTTATGACTATAACCCACTCTTCTAACTGTGGTTATGTTGGCTGCAGCATGCTAATGTTCAGGAAGAGGAACTGGGAAGGAGTCTCAGGTTATTAAGTTCTAATGATAAAAATGTGCCAATTGGTAATCAGTGTTTTTATCTTTTAAAATCTCTAATAAACGTCATGTTTAAAAGATAGAGTTATAACGTGGAGCATATGGAAAATGGGTTTTGATGATTTGTGTATTTTAAAGTTATGTGTGCGGTATACAGATTTTTAAATCTCAAAGAATTAAAATTCAGTAAAGTAAAAATAATACTCAGTATGGCTTTCATGATAAAAGTGATTTAAAAGCCATTTTCTTATTAACTTCTGTCATTTTAAAGTTCTGCATGAAGATGCAAAAGAACTCTTAAAATTTGCCATTAGCCGTTCTTATAAAAGTATAGCAACTAAAAGCCTCACCAAATGCTAGTAATTTGCTTTTCAATGGCTTGAAACCCAGAAATGGAAGTTGGAGTCTTAGGGTGAAATGTCTTGTAGGTGAAACCACCTCAAATATATTTATCTTTTTTTTCCTGACTAAACTCTTTTGAATAGTTTCAGATGGACTCTTCTTGAATTGATCTCTATAACTAATACTTTTATGAGGCGGTTTTAAGTTTTAAGCAAAGAAGTCTTCTAATTTAATGGAACACCCTTGGGTGGGGGTCACTATTGAATAAACCAGGAAATAACCATACAGGGGGATATGCCAATATGGTTTACAGAATGTTACCCAATCACAATGGTATGGTGGGGAACGGTTTCCAGATCATCATTAACCAGTGTATCAAACTGAATTTCTAATCTTAGAACAGAATCTAAATGGCCCAGGGTATGGACAGCTATAACTAATTAAGATTGTTATTACTAAATAATGGAAGCTAATTCGTTACTACAATTGCCATACATCTGTGTTGTTCCATAAGAAAAATTGGAGTAGAACTCTGGTTCTGAGAGATATATCGGTCTTCTTTATTCTTTATTGCCTGAGTAACAGTGAATGAGAGAAAGTGGTGGTATCAGTTTATATAGCATCTGTTTAAAAAATATGTAATGTAAGGATGATATGGATTTTAAAGGAGCTCATATTTGTTTGATTTAAAAATAATAACTAGCAGTTAGCAAAAACATACTGGGTTACTGTTATTTTATGCTGGTCTTTTGATTTGTATTGCTAAGGCCTCAATATGGAGCTGATGACTACACTTATGTGTTGATTTATCCGTTGATACTGTCAAAATGTAGTCTGTGCTATGACACTGTAATACTTTTTTTCTTTATTACAATTTTCAGAGTGTCCTGATGGTCTTCTGTGTACCTCGACGATTCCTTCTCATTACAAGAGATACACTCACCTCCTGCTAGCTCAGAGCAGGGCTGGTCATAGTCCTCTTAGCAGTCCATCCCATGGGGTAGGCGGTAGTTTCAGTGAGACTAACTCAGGCTTTCTTTGTAGCCTTGAGGAAAGTTGGTCTCCGGATCAAAAACAAACTGAGAACTTCAAACATGTTTCAATTGATCCCTTGTTCGTGACACAGTGTCTAAAAAAATCTCAGTCTCCAACTGAAACCAAGAAAAAGATTTCCTCTTCAACAAATATCCAAACGTCCCAACGAGCTCCACAAGCTGCACAATGTGTTAATGATGACAAACTGGTAGGAGCTGGTTTGCCTCTTGCCGGAAGACTAGACAGCCAGAACAACTCAGGACACACCAATTTGCTGTGGCCAGAAAATGACTTGAGCGACTGTGAAATCTCCTACTCTCCTCTTCAAAGTGATGAAGAAACTTATGATATAGATGAAAAGCTGGATGATTCACAGCAGGAGCTGTTTTTTACGGAATGCTCTAAAGATGGCAGCCTAGAAGCAGATGACAACAACTGTACTTTGTTTAAAAATGTCCACTGTCCCTTACTGAGGAGTCAGCAGGAGAGTGGCTTCGAAATGAATAGCTTCTTAACTCAAGAGCGATACAATGAAGAATTGTACACATACAGCACTCTGAATGATCCATCTCAACTTCTTTTCCCAAGTGAGGGTATTATTTTATGTCATGATCCGGCATATTCTGATGATGGTTTCTTGTTGTTTCCACCTGCATTGGCAGGGGGACTTGCTTCTTCTAGTTGTCAAGCCACTACCGCAAAACCTGATGAGCCAAAAGTTCACGCCTCTCCATCAAATAAACAGAAACAGGTAATTGAAGCATCAGCTGTTTACAATCACATTTCTCTTCCACTACTTAAGAGTAAAATGCCAAAACCTTTTGAAAGCGAGGCCCGAGGAGGGTGTCTTTCTTTCCATCCAACCCAAAGTAAAATTAGAGAATTATCGAGTAAGAGCCTCAGTACTAAGAATAATGCTAACTCAGCATGTTCCTGCAGAAAGGCATTAGGTGGTATGCGAGACAGTCAAGTTACAGTGTTAAATACAGAGACATTTTCGAGTACAGCGACTTCTGCTAAGTCTTTGAAAATGTTGCCATCTGGTTCTCAGTGCAGTGCAACACAGACTTCTACGAAGGTAATGAAGCAAATGGATATAGGTGTGTATTTTGGTCTACCACCTAAAAGAAAAGAAGAGAAATCGGTGGGGGAAAGTGCATTAGAAGGCATGAACTCAAGTCCAGTGGTCAGTCCTAATAAAAAGAGGCCCAGGCAGTGCAAGAGGAAAGCAGAAAATTCTTTAAGTGATTCAGAATTGGACGCAAAGAATTTAAGTGAGAATTGGCAATCCGTGGAACCTTCTAGTAAGAGGGCACGGCATCAAAGAAAGAGACTTAAAAAGTCAGACTCGCCACAGGAAGGAATGCCTCAGTCGAGGTCAGATTACCTGATTAATAAGACCAAAACTGGAGTCAATTTAAGTAAAGACGAAGTTTTCATAACGTCACCTTGTGGCAGGCTGCAGAGAGGCAACAGGAAAAGCCCATACTCATCTCCTGCAGGAGAATTAAGAAAAAGGACGTGTCCGTTCTATAAGAAAATCCCTGGTAAGTTGAAATATCAATGCTTGTTGTAGCTACAAAGAGGCACCTTTTTTGAATTTCATGTTCATTTTCCAGTGTGTGTTTGCATGAAACAGGTTTTTTGTATGTGTTTCTTTTATTTTTTATACCACTTCACTGACTTGTAACATAGATTTGTGTGTATGTGTTATGTATTTAACCTTTCTTACTCCATTCAGTAAAGTTTTATTCAACATATTCTGTACACAAGATACTGTACTGATAGGTTGGTATTATAGATTTGACAAAAGACTAGTAAAGCTTAATACAGGAGGAGGAAAAGCTCCCTATAAAATAACTATAATAAAACACTGTCTCTAAGCATTTAAGAGAAATGAAAAGTACTAAATAACTTCAAAGACGGAAAATGTCACAGGTTATATAGGTCATTGTAAATGCCCAACATTTTTAAGCCATATCATAACTTAGTTTCTCAGTTTTTTCATAACTGTAATTTATCATGTCTTCATAGATGAGTTAGTAGAAAAATGTGTGTTAAAATGAATTTTGTTATTGAAGGAACTAATAACGCTTCTTGTGGAAAGAATACAAAAGAAAACTGCCCAAATACACTTGGCTTCAGAAAGACTTTTTGAAGTGCTTTACTGATGATTTAGAGCTATAATTTGTTCAAAATATTTATGTGTAAGATAGCATTTTTGTACCCATAGCACCAGTTTTGTTTTTAATGATTATTTTTATTGATCTTCTGTATTTTAAATGTCCATTATGCAACGTGGTAATATGTCTTAATAGAATCATTTGCTTGTTTATTTGCGTATAATTGGGTATTTCATGAACCCACTTGGGTATTTCTTTCATGAACACATTTTAGAACAGCTCAACTTTTTTTTCTTGCACCTCTAGGGAGACATTTTTTTTTCTTGTTTCCCTCCCTCCCTCTCTCTCACCCCCTCACAATAAAATTCAAATTCTGCTGATATATTGTTTATCTGTTATTATACTGTAGTAGCCCTTTGACAGGCCAAAAATCATTATAATAAGAAGGATTATTTGGGCCTTCAGTTATTTTTGCCCCCTTAGAAGCATATCACTATCGCCCCCATTGAGCATTTTTTTTTTTTTTAAGAAGAAAGTTAGCATTCTCCTTTGGCTATCTTGCAGAAATAAAGGAATTTAGGTGCCCCAATAAGAATTGGGAAAATATTCAAAGAAGTAATACTCAAAATAAAACAAAGAAGTAATTGATTTGTAGTTTAGTATTTTGATTTTTTTGGTATAATTACTCATTTTTTTAAAAAGCCTATGTTGTAATATTTAGTGGAAACTTACAAGACTCATTTTCATCTCTAGTATCACCTTTTGCTGAATTAATTTACCATAAATTTTAAATTCAGTTCCAAAGCTGGGTTAGCAGTGAGATGTGAAGATGTTAGAGGGTTCAGTATTTGTAACCAAACCGGGTCTCTTTCCCTCTGTTGGCGTTGCTCAGGCAGCTGTGCTGGTGTTTTCATTGCAGGAACTGGCTTTACAGTTGATGCCTTTCAGTATGGAGTGGTGGAAGGTTGCACAGCCTACTTTCTCACCCACTTTCATTCTGATCATTATGCTGGATTGTCTAAAAACTTCACATTCCCAGTTTATTGTAGTGAGGTAAGTTTTAGTGTTGTAAGTTATAAATTTGTAGAATGCAGTGAATTTCTAAACAATTTGGTTAAAAGGGAATAATTAAAATTGTAAGATCTCTCATTCTACTAGACAACATGTGAGAAAGCAGACTCCATATTGAGGTTCTAAAATCCAATGCGCTATCAATAGTTATAAACATTTTTTATTTAGACATAATAGATAAACTACTTCACAATGTACTAAAAAAAAATCTAAGTTTCATTTAGTGAACATTTATTGAGTAAAAGATAATTTAAGGACAAGGACCTAACTTTAGTGTACTTACAGCCTTAAGGGACGCTTTCACAAATAATGCCAGGATGGGATCAGTATTGTAACAGAAAAGTGAACTGAGTGCCCAGAAGTATGGAGAAAGGAGTGCTTTATTCACTCTGTCCCAGGCTACGGTTAGAAAAGCTTCCATGATGAAAGAGCTAGCTTGAATGAATTATTGAAAGGTGAACATTTCATTGCCTACTACTAAGGGCTTTGGCTGGAATTTGATTTAATCCTCACAACATTCTTGAGTTGTCCTCTTTTGATCAGTGAAATAACTGAGGCTTGCAGAGGTTGAGTGACATGCCCCTAGTCACAGAACTAGTAATAGCAGGGCCAGAATTTGAAGGCAGGTCTGTTTGATTCCAAAACCAGTCAGAAGAGAGGATTCCAGGTAGAGAGTGGAGTTGGTTATAAAAAGGCAGACACCTGAGAAATAGACCCATTCCAGGCACTTCAGGTATTTCAGAATGCCTAAACACAAGATAGGGAATAATGGGAGATAAAACTGCAGAAAGGGGCAGGGGCCAGATCATGAAGGGTTTTGTATGTCATGCCAGGGATGGCTTTTCACAGGTGAGACAGAGCCAGTGACACTATGTAAGGCAGACCTGTGACACATTCATCGTAGGAAGTTCTTAGGTGACAGTACTTTGGCAGAGCTGTGACACAGCCATCTTTCTGGCATTCTGGAGGGTTCACATTGGATGTAAGTGGGAGAACAGGAGATTAAGATACTTGGGTTCTAAACTAGATATGAAATAAAATACTTGTTTAGTGTTTTACTGGAGCAGCAGTAAGCACATTCTGTTTTGCAGATAACCGGCAATTTGTTGAAGAGCAAACTTCATGTGGAAGAACAGTATATCCATCCATTACCAATGGACACCGAATGTATGGTGAATGGCATTAAAGTTGTTTTGCTTGATGCCAATCAGTAAGTATTAAAAGTTACCTTAATAATAGCCTATTTTTAATAAAAATTCAAAAGGAAGACGCATTGGCATGGTTACTTAACTTTTTTATTGGAACGAAAAGGCTTGGTATTTCTTAAAACTTAAGTTAAACATGTTTCTCCTTTTGAAACAAATGATGTACCCAATTACAGAATCAGAGAGTAAATGTAGAGACCTCTACTTGTTATCAACTCATTTTATATCCAGTTTAAATTACCATGCTCGACATATGACACTCATTATTTTCAAATTTGTTAACATGTTGCTGCTGTTCTTTAAGAGAGAATCTTTTGGCCCAGCCAGTGTGGCTCACTGGTTGAGTATCAACCCATGAACCAGGAAGTCAGGGTTTGAACCAGTCAGGGCACATACCCGGGTTTTGGGCTCGATCCCCAGTAGGGGGCATGCAGGAGGCAGCCAATTGACAATTCTTTCTCATCATTGATGTTTTTCTCTCTCTCACACCCTCTCCCCCTCCCTCTCCCTTCCTCTCTCTGAAATAAATAAAAACATATTTTTAAAAGAGAGAGATAACCTTTGGCATTTTAAAAAATACCACATATAAATTAACCGCTTGTACTCCATTCAGCTACTAGGAGGATTTTTTGTTTGTTTTTTTTCTCCCTTTAAGTAATTTTTCAGGCTTTTGATACTAAAGAATGAAGATTTTTGATGGGAAATGGTTTCCCTCTCTTTTTAAAATCACTACTTACATTGGAAAAATGCAGCTATTGACTTGTCTTCTTTCTACTTTTCATAGAGTGTTAGCCTCATGTGCCTTAGCGATCACAGATGCTTAGAGAATTAAAATTAAGACTAAATCTAGGTCTCCTAAAATCGGGGCCAGTGCTCTTTCTTCAGGTTGTCTTTAAGTTTTTGTCTGCTTACTCTGCTGCTGATTCTTTCTTTTAATCACTAATTATAACAACTCAAGTTCTAATATTTTTTAGTCAAACTTATTGAGGTGTAACAACTTACAAAGTAAAATGGATCTATTTTAAGTGTTTGCTGCCTGTGTTAAGACGATTTCTTTGAAATGTTTGTGTTCAGCTGCCCAGGTGCTGTCATGATCCTTTTCTACCTTCCGAATGGTAACGTCATATTACACACCGGAGACTTCCGAGCGGATCCCACCATGGAACGTTCTCTTCTTATGCGCCTGAAAGTCCACACGCTCTACTTAGATACCACGTAAGCGAAGCTTTGCTTGTGTGCTTCCTTTTCCCACAGACAGCATTTGCCATGGAGATTGTGAATAATTTGAGCATTTGCTTAGGTGATCAAAACTATGGTATTTTATTTAGGACTGTTTATCAGAGGGATGCTGTTTAAGGACAAATTTGGGATTACGTGTCATAACTGACTATAGCTCAATTATTTTTTATAATTTCCTTTTGAAAATATGGTGTATGTGAGAATCCTACTACTGAAACAAGGAAGAATAATTGGGGGCAAACGTTAGGAAAACACCATTTTAGGTTATCCTTTCAAAGTATCTGTAACTACAAAGTATAACTGTGAAGAGAAAATTGAGACCAAAGTCCGATTCTGTTTCTGAGTATTTAGAATTTGTGGGTTTGTTATATTCCTATAATGCTGTTATTTCTGTATCCCTGAGAAGAGAAGACAACCATGTGAATATTAACTGTTTGATTTAAAACTACTTCATTAAGTTCATGTTTCATTTCATTATTTTAATAATAATAATTTTTTTACTGCAGCAGAATTCTTTAATCCAAAGATAATTCCTATCTGTAGATTTTCTTTGCTAGTGATGGGGTTAAAAGATATTGAGGTTTAATTTTAGAGCTAAAAAAGCTGGCTGGCTAGAAATAATCTTGAAGGGAAAAAGGCAATTTCTTTATTTGAAGGTGATAAAAGAAACATAATGAAAAAAGCATACTGGAAATGCATAATCCCATCATAAATTATCAATAGCTGGTAACAAATATTGTCCCCACAGGCAGTGAGATGACCTGCAGTGGTGTTAATATATGATACTGCTGTTGTATGTAATTTTGCTGCAGCTTATTTTCTTTTAAAAAAAGCATCCAATTTAATGCCATGGCTTTCTTGTTGCTCTTTTTATAAGTACCATATTTCCATATTACAGATACTGCAGCCCAGAATACTGCTTTCCGTCTCAGCAGGAGGTTATCCAGTTTGCCATCAACACTGCCTTTGAGGCTGTAACTCTAAACCCACGTACTCTTGTTGTCTGTGGCACTTATTCTATTGGAAAAGAGAAAGTCTTCCTAGGTGGGTGTTAGCTGTATCTAATTTACATTAATATATTATAAAGACCAGCTTCTTTTTGCATAAAGCCCTTTCGGTCTCTTCTAGTGCTTGAAATTTATTTCCTGAAATGGTTCAATATTACCTTTGAAGCTGAAGGAAAATTGGACAGAGTCTGATTCATTTAAACTTTGAAAGGCTTAACTTAACGGAAACATTTAATGTGTGGTTATGGTAGCCTTTACAGCTACAGAGTGTTTACAGAGCAAATGCCCATGCTCCATTGGTATTTCAAGACACTTTAAAGATGTCTAGTATATAGTTGTGTCACTGCATGCCTTTGATGCTAACCATCAATTAATTACCTTAGAGAATAGTTGTAATTTTTGTTCCTAAATGATTTCTGGGTATGTCATTGTAGTTCATCTAAAGAGTGCTGAATTGTTTTTGCGAAGTACTTTCCATTTCTTCTTACCAATCGTCACATAAGGTCAAGCATTAAGATATGAAGTAATGAAGCCAGGGTTTTAGTTCTTCCAAACTTGGTTTCTTTCCTTCTTCTACCCCTTTCTATACATATTTTGCAGTTTTTAAATACTAGATTTTTAAAAATAAATTATTTGGTTTTTCTCACAATTTATTTCACACAGTTAATCAAAAAAATTATTCAGCCTTTTTGAGATATTATGGCAAAAGCATGAATGTTTTGAATTTATTTTATTTGGTAAATTCTTATTTTAAAATTTGGTTAAGTTGTAATATTTTTACATAAGCTGTAATTTTTCTATCTTTAATCTTTTTCTTTGCCTATAGCCATTGCTGATGTTATAGGTTCAAAAGTGGGCATGTCCCGAGAGAAATATAAAACCTTACAGTGCCTCAATATACCAGAAATTAATTCCCTCATCACTACAGACATGTGCAATACACTAGTTCACCTTCTTCCAATGATGCAAATTAATTTTAAGGTAAGTATCCAAGAGATAAATTTTTTAGGCTGAACTAGAAAAGATAATATAACTATAAACTAGAATTCCACTTACCTGCATTTAATGCAGTGGGATTCCATTACAATGAAGTCATCACCTATAGTAAATTTGCCCAGAAAATCTTTTAAGGGGAATTTAAGATGTTTTTCATATTGTATGTGTGTAGCTCTATACTGTAATTCACATATGCACCAGGAGTGTAGGGACTAGAGGACTGGCATAAGGGAAGAAACATATGCAGAAAAGTATACAGCTATCTGGCCATTCAGACTTTCTGTTCATAAGATCACTTTCCAGTTCTTCCTGGGTGAGTGGTGAAATGAATGGAGAATTCTAAGGAGGTCTTACTTTTTTTTTCAGGCCTATTCTGTGTTAATATCAAGCCCTTATAACATTGATATATGTTGAAAATTTACTTGAGAGGATTAAATAAAATAGTGGAAGTGCAACATAAGAGGAAGTCTGAGCTATAAGTTAAGATACATAAGATATGACCTCACTGTGACTTGGGGGGCTTGTCAGATTTATTCATATACTAAGATATTTTTCCATTTGGTAACATTTTGACACCTAGCAATGGAATACATCAAAGCTGTGTATTAAAAATGATTCAGAACATAATATAATACAAAAAGATGTATTTTCCTTTTTCTCTGTACTGTTCATGAAATAACTCTTATGGAGCTTTTTGAACTAACTTGGGATTACTGTATCTGTCTTATAAATAGTAACACTTGTATTTTGTAAAGAAAATGAACACTTTAGGCCTATTACTTGAGTAAGGAAATTCTAACTGGTATAACTACTCCTCTGTTCATAAGATTAAGGTAAAATGTTTATGGCCTGTTTTCATGAGTATATAATTAATAAGAAATGTTAGGGGTAACGATGTCAGAGTTTTGTCCATTGGAAACATTTTAAATTTGGGAGGCATCCAATTTGTGTGGAGGCTAATGAGATGGTAATTAATTATAAAATGAACAGATATCTTGGAGAGGGTATAGTATTTTTAAATTATTTTACAGCTTTCTTTTCTACTTTGTTCCATTTGAACAAATTATCCATTTAGGAGGACGGTGGGGGTGGAGGAGTTGGAGTATTTTGAAAAAGAAAGGACTAGAGTGTTTAAAAGTGCCATATGCTGCAGAGAGGTCTTATAAGGAAGAATGGCAATTAGAACACTTTTGGTGACCTGTATAAGAACTGTTGTAGTGAAGTGATATTGGAGGAAGCCAGATGGCTAAAGACCAAGGAATGAATGAGAAAGTATACAAATGACCAAATGAATGAGAAGATACACATATGGCCAATAAGCACATGAAAAGAGACTCAGCATTGTTAGCCATCAGGCAGCTGCAAATCAAAACCACAGTAGATACTTCACATTCACTAGAACAGCTCTAATAAAAAACACAGGCAATGCCAATTGTTGGTGAGGATTTAGAGAAATTAGAAATCGCATTCATTACTGGTGAGATTTTAAAATGGTGCAGCTGCTATGGGAAACAGTTTGATAATTTCTTTAAGAGTTAAAAAGTTAAATGTAAGAAACGTAATTTCTTAAAAAGTTAAACATATCACCAAGCAATTCCAGTCTTAGGTATGTGCCCAAGAAAATTGAAAACATGTCTACACACAAAAACTTCTAAGTATATGAGTATTCATAATGGCATTATTCATAATAGCCAAAATATATAAACAACTCAAATGTCCAACAAAGACCAATGAATAAACAAAATGTGATATATCCACAAAATAGGACTATTATTCAGCTATAGCCCTAGCTATAGGCTCAGGGGATAGAGCATCATCCTGTGGACCGAAGAGTCCTGGGTTCAATTCCAGTCAAGGACAGATGCCTGGGTTGCAAGCTCAATCCCCAGTAGGGGGCGTGCAGGAGGCAGCCAATCAATTATTCTCTCTCATCATTGATGTTTTTCTCTCTCTCTCCCTCTCCCTTCCTCTCTGAAATCAATAAAAATATATTTTAAAAAAAGTAATGAAGTACTAAATATGCTACAGTATGACTTAGCCTTGCGAATATTATGCTACATGAAAGAAGCAGACACAAAAGGCTACATTTCTTTTTTTTAATCCTCACCTGATGTTTTTCCATTGATTTTTAGGGAGAGGGAAAGACAGAGAGAAACATTGATGTGAGAGAAACATATCGATTGGTTGCCTCCTACACAAGCCCCAACCAGGGCCTGGGCTGGGGAGAAGCCTGCAACCAAGGTATGTTCCCTTGACCGGAATCAAACCCAGGACCCTTTGGTCCATAGGCGATGATCTATCCACTGAGCCAAACCAGCTGGGGCCAAAAGGCTATATTTTGTGTGACTCCATTTATATGAAATGTCCAGAATAGGTAAATCTGTAGAGATAGCAGGTAGATTGGTAGTTGTCAGGGCTTGAAGAAGAGGGAATGAGGAATGGATGTTTCTTTTTGGGATGATGCAGATGTTCTGGATTTAGATAGTGGTCACGGTCATACAACTTTTTGAATATGCTAAAAACCACTGAACTGTAGTAGGATTGAAGTGATTTTTGGGGGGTAACTATCTGAATTGTAGTTTTTAATATAATTACTTATGATATATAAACATAAGTAATTATATTAAAAACTACATGTTTAATATATAAACATAAGTAATTATATGTTTAAATTATATTAAGAACTATGTTTAATATATAAACATAAGTAATTATATGTTTAAATTATATTAAGAACTATGTTTAATATATAAACATAAGTAATTATATGTTTAAATATAATTACCTATGTTTAAAACTGTCATCTTAACTTTTTTCAGACTGTACTTCAGCATGCTTAACTTTATATAAGGTGAAAATATATTTTTTCAGTTTTTTATTTATTTTGGAAGCAAGGCACTAGATCAGCGATTTTCAACCTTTTCAACTCATGGCACACATAAACTAATTACTAAAGTTCTGCAGCATACCAAAAAAACATGTTTTTTGCCGATCTGACAATAAAACACAGGTAGAGTTTTGATTCATTCACACCAGATGGCTATGGGGTTGACTGTTGTCATTTTTTATTTGACAGTCTCAGGAAAAAGAGGTTAATGCCCTTGACTAAATAGTTCAGGTATTGCATGTTTTAAAAATTCTTGTGGCACACCAGTTGAAAATGCTGCACTAGGTTGTGGCAAGCTAAAATTTACCAAGTGAAAACTTCCTGTGACTGTGCCATGTAACACCTTTCATCATTGTGTCAGTGCACGTAACCCATGTTCCTTGACCATTAGATCCATATCCTATTTTTATTTAACAGGGTTTACAGAGTCATTTGAAGAAGTATGATGGCAAATATGAACAGATTTTGGCTTTTCGACCTACAGGATGGACACATTCTAATAAGTTAACAAGTATAACAGATGTCGTGCCCCAGACCAAAGGAAACATTTCAATATATGGTATACTTATTAAATGTTCTCACTTTTAATATTTGCAATTACATGTTTTAGAATTAAAGATGCAAGAAAAACAGGCATGGCAATCTTTAACGATTCAAGAGTTTCACATTTCTCTGTGAACTCTAACCTGTATCTCTAATACATTATAAGCTGATGTGAAGGAGTATGACCATAGTAGGTAGACATTGACACAGATCATGTTGTTTGCGAGATCAGTGATATGTAGGGGGAAGTTTGGAACTACTTGAAATGGGGAGGGGGCACAGATGTGTGCTGCAAGGTTAAATGGCGCCGTGACGCTCAGAACGGATAGACAGTGGGTAGATGTGGTGGCAACCAGAGTCTCAGAGTGGTCTTGAATTTTTTCATCTCTTGGAGGAGGTTTACCATTGTCCTCAGAAATGGACTAATTACAATAATAGCCGATGGAAACATTATTGATATGTCACTAGTCCAGTGACTGACTTTCAGCTTTAAAGACCCTACTTTACACAGAACATGACCCTTCCTCCCTGTTTCTATGGGACTTGATCTTCAGGGAAGAAGATGAAGGGAATTTTTAAAATTTAATTTGTTTTCTTTTCGATTATTTTTTTGTGTGTGCAAAGCTTGGGGACTGGAATCTGCTTTCTTACTCTGGAAACCAAATGTCTCCTGCTTGTTCTTCAAATTTTACTCATTCTTCTAGGATTTCTCTTGAAATTCATAGCTGAGCAGAGTGCTTAAGGAGAAGAATTATTTTAAAAGAAACCATAATTATAAATAAGAATCTATGGAAATGCATATTATTACCAACATAGGAAAGTAATAGAATTTTTTAATGTTCAAAGTTTTTGTATCATTTTAATGTTTTCATCTTTATTTTTCCTAAAAGGTACATTTTATTATCAGAAATAAAGCACCAGGGAGTTTATGACAAAAACACTCTGGATCCTTTTATTTTCCTTTTACTATTTTGGGCTTGGATTTTTTTTATTATTAATTTGATTTTTAGTAGGCAATCTTTTCTTTTGTGTTCTAGGAATTCCTTATAGTGAACACAGCAGCTACCTAGAAATGAAACGTTTTGTTCAGTGGCTCAAGCCCCAGAAAATCATACCTACCGTGAATGTTGGCTCCTGGAAATCTAGGCACACAATGGAGGAATATTTTAAAGAATGGAAATTGGAAGCTGGATATTGATGTTACCTCGAAGGACTCCGAATTAGTTAAGTAACTTAGGTGTAGCTTGTGAGTAGTTAAATCTTTAGTGATATGAAATACACTTTATGTGAAAAACCTCGCAAAGATCACTCATGTGGCTTATTTTCTTATTTACATTTGAATAACTTGGTGCTGAGTGCCTCTCAGCATCCTCATTGATCACTGAGGCTGGTCTCCCTGACACCTGGATCCTTGCCCCTCCCAAGGGGCAGTTATGCTCTCCATCCAGCCTTCAAGAGGAAATAAAGACCAAGTCTGGGACCACAAGGATTCATTATAATGGATAATTAGATTGAAAACATTATATATAAGTAATTATTTGTCTTTAAATTTATTTAATATGGGGCATATTTTATGAGATAAAACTTTTATATGATATGTATACTTAAATAAAAAATTAATCTTAAATTTGCTATCTAGTGTCTTGGTTTTTAGGATTTATAACTGCGCCTTTCATGCAATTTTATAAAGTTTCAATTAAAAAATTCAGCATTTTACTCTGAAGAAGATGTTTTAAAGAGCTTAGATAATCACCCAATAAAGGATGGAGGAAAGTTTGCATGAATGATGTTTATCTCAAGATAGCAGATAACTGAAAGTTTAAGATTGCAGTGTGTTTTTAAGTAAGATTATATAATTTATTTATGAATCTTGATCTCTCCAACACAGATTCAATAACTGATCCAAAATGGAAATTTTAGACCAAAGCATGTGAAAAATGTATTTATGGGGTTTAAATATGATAATGGTCAGCATAATGAATATATGCATGTGTGCATATGTGTATTCTTCATCACCCCTAGCAGTGAAATTAGTTTTGGGAGTTCTTACTAAATGTTTTCATGGAAAAGTATTTTCAGTATTGATTTCAGTTACCAGAGGGGTAGTATTCTCCATGAACTTTATTTTCATAAGCTTTGACTTTATAGAGGTAAGGGTTATCGGGATCACATTTAGGGGAGGAAAAGCTTTTAGGGGCACAATGGTAATCAATCCAGTTTAACTATGTTCTCAGTTTATTTCAATTAAACATTTGAAATAGTTTAACTAGTTTGGGCTTGGCACCATAAACTCTTTATAAGTAATTAAGAGTCATAATTAGAAAAAAAAACTAAAGATTTTACAAATTTGACATTTTTAACGGAGGAAATAGATGGTCAGGTCATGTGGGGTCACTTTTTGTTTATTATTTGAGTAATAGGGTATTTTTTCTTGAATTATCATTTTTCATTGGTTAAAAGGTTTTTAATGATTTTGAATGTTTTACTTTGATAATCCAGGCATGTTATTTAAGAGCAGCCACAGCCTTTACAAAAACATCTTTCTACACAAACAGCACCATTTATGGTGGCTTGGAATGATTTTGTTTTGCTGCTATTGGCTGGAGAATGTACAAAACCTCATTTAGGGACCATCCCAAATAGTTTTATAAGTAAGTCACAATCACAACCAAACTTTTCGAGGCTCTGCTGAGTGCTGTATATGAAATTTTTAGTTCCAGTACCTAACACTTTGGTAGATAAAAAGTTTCCATTTTAAAGTGAAATGGAAGAAGAAGAAATCTACTTTAATTAATCCAAAATAAATGGATGATAGCTCCTGAGCATCCTAAACATGTGTATAGAAGGAGAAGGAGAATTAAACCAACATAGGCGAAAATGTTTTACCATATATATATATTTGAAACTTCTCTGAAAGCTTTATTACCATCTTATCTGACATTGAACATTGAATTACCAGATGCAGGGACAACAGGCAGACTTCAAGTTCTCATTACTTTGATGTAATAGGAAAATATTTTCCACTTGATGTCAATGTCTTTTAAATATATTTATTGATGTTTTGGTTTTCAGAATAACTAATTGAAATTAATGTCTTGTTCAGTGATTGAGTTATATTCCTGTGAACCAAATACTTTCAGAATTTCCTTATTTGGTCCCAAATAACCATCAATAGCTAGACTAAGGAACTAAGAGGAGAATCATCTTCAAGTACTAATCCCCAAAATGATCTGTCTTAAAAGAGTATTGATAGTGACTTGTAACTTTTCTGGTGGACTTATGTGCATTCAATTTATTTGGTATTGATCTTAGAAAATTTCCCATAAAGAAGTTGTTTGAGCCCGGCCAGTGTGGCTCAGTGGTTGAGTGTCAACCCAGGAACCAAGAGGTCACCAGTTCAGTTCCCAGTCAGGGCACATGCCCGGGTTGCAGGCTTGATCCCCAGTGTGGGGCATGCCAGAGGCAGTCAGTCAATGATTCTCGCTCATCATTGATGTTTCTATCCCTCTCCCTCTCTGAAATCAATAAACATATATTTAAAAAAAAAAAAATTGACTTCCTAAATTTTCTTATGTGTTTTCTTTAAATGAAAAGAGTCTTATTCCAGAAGAACCATTGGCAATAAAAATATATTTAAACTGCTCAGTTGATCATTTTGGTACATTAAAATGTCTGTTACTTAACGTCCATTTCAGTGTAGGAACAATTTAGAGAATAAACTTCTCTTTTTGGTCAAGCTATCACTTTAGTTTGTCACTAAAATCCATCAATGAACATTGGAATCCTGCCTTCAGGAAATTACATTCTATCAATCAACATTACTTACTGATTATCTAAGCACACTATTTGCTTTGTTCTAAATATGATAAACTTGTTTTTCAAGGGAAAAAGATGTTCCATAAAGTCCAGTTACATTATCTGTATAAGCCCTTTTGTTATTTCAAAATGGAAAGCAAGAGCTTAAGATCATAAAATGGTATCAGAGCAGCGCTTTAATACACTATTAGGTAATGGTATTAAGCTGCTTTTTAAAGTTTCTTTGAAAGAACTATTTTGGACTTCCTGTTGTGGCTCTGAGCTCTGCTTGTGTATCACATGGGATAAGCAGATAAAATTGTAAGTGAATTAAAAGCAACAGTATCTGGAAGGGGAATAAACGCCACATACCCTTGTTTTTTTGCTAAGTGTTTTTTTTTTTTATTAGTGTCTTTTATCCATGAAAAGGGTGCCAAAATCTGTTTTATTTTTTTAACAGTTTGATTGAGATAATTCACATACCATATAACTCACCCATTTAAATAGTGTTGTGCAACCATCACCATAATCAATTTTAGATTAATTTTATCATTCAAAAAAGGAATCCTACACCCATTAGCAGTTACTCCCTAGTCCTCCCCTCTCCTCCCTCCCAACTACTCTTACCCTAGGCAGGAACAACTCTTTCTGACTACAGATTTACCTATCCTGGGCATTTCTTATAAATGAAACATAATGCATAGTCTTTCGTTATTGACTTTTTTTTGACTTAACAGTGTTTTCAAGGTTCACCCATATTTAGCATGTCTTAGAACTTCAGTCGTTTTTATGGCCAAGTAATAGTCCATTGTTTGAAAATATATTTTATTCATTCATCTGTTGGTGGATGTGTATGTTTACACTTTTTTTTCTATGATAAATAATGCTGCTTTAACATTTTGTACAAGTTTTTGTGTGGACATATATTTTATTTCTCTTGGATATATACTGAGAAATGGAATGGCTGGGTCATACCGTAACCATGTTTAAATTTGGGGGGAGCTGCCAAATTGTTTTCCCGAATGACTATACCATTTTTCATTCCCACTTGCAATGTGTAATGCAGCGGTTCTCAACCTGTGGGTCGCGACCCCTTTGGCGGTCAAACGACCCTTTCACAGGGGTCGCCTAAGACCATCCTGCATATCTGATATTTACATTACGATTCATAACAGTAGCAACATTACAGTTATGAAGGAGCAACGAAAATAATTTTATGGTTGGGTCACAACATGAGGAACTGTATTTAAAGGGCCAGAAGGTTGAGAACCACTGGACTGTAATGGCTCCAAGCTCTCCACGTCCTCACCAACACTTGGCATTGTCTACTTTTTCCTTCCAGCCATCTTGGTGGGTGTGAAGTGGTATCTCCTTGTGGCTTTTATTTGCATTTCCCCTATGACTAATGATGAGCATTTTTTTTCTACCCACCCACCCCCTTTTAAAAGATTTTTTTTAGAGAGAGAGGAAGGGAGAGGGAGAAACAGCAATGTGAGAGTGAAACATCGATTGGCTGCCTCCTGCACGCCCCTTACCAGGGATCAAGGCTGCAACCCAGGCATGTGCCCTGACCGGGAATTGAACTGGTAACCTTTCAGTGCACGGGATCATGACCAACTGAGCCACATCAGCCAGGGCTATTAACGCTTTTGGAAAGAGGACACTTTACAGAAAACTCAGTTAAATGGTTGTTCTAAAATGTATTATTTAAACCGAAGCAAAATAGTTTTATAGACTTGGGTCTAGATTTGCTAGAAATAGTGATGTTTAATAATGACAAGCCTACAGTTTTAGTCCAATGAGAATTATGAGTTAGTAACAAGGTAAATTTAAAATACATAGCAGTAAACCAGGTTATATGCAGTGTAGGTAAGACAGACTTTACTGCCTTGGCTTGCAGGAGGAAGCTAAATGATATTTATAATTATAAGAAAGGAAGATGAGATAGGAAGGTTTTGAATATTGGGGTGGATAACACCAGCTGACCTTGAAGAAGCAATGTCATTTATGAAAATGGCCCACAATGGTGATGTGAATATATAAATGTAACTCTATCCAGTTTTTAAACTTTAAAATTGCAGCTTGCTATTTGAGATCTTGATAGTGAAATAAATAACTTATTGGGTTCCGTTTAGCCCTAAATCCTATAATTATGTAATTCCTGGTTACCATCAAGTTTTTTAAAAAGTACATAATGAAAACATAGTGCTTTAAACAGCTTCGCTGTTCACATGTCATGAGAATAGATGATCAGCCAAGAAACTTATCTTTTTGTTTCAAAGCTGTTAACTTTTATATAAGAACTCTATACTTATTCTAGGTTGTGTCCTAGTAATTTATTCATATGTGTTAAAATTTTAAACACATGTCTGACAAACAGGTGATATAAGTCGGGAGTCATTAGAAGGTCAGCATGAAGTTCTTTTTATCACCATTGGAAATCCCTGGCCTAGAGGAAACAGATGGATTTGGTTACATTATCTTGCTCTGCCAAATAAACAGTTGAGGAAAATGTTAAATATCCTTTTGCTATGTGTCTATGCCTCGGGTAGGAATGGTGCTTGATGTTAACCGTGCTAGTCTCTTCAGCTGCTTTATACTTAATGACAGAAACTTGAGCCTGGCCAGCATGGCTCAGTGGTTGAGCATCGACCTATGAACCAGGAGGTCACGGTTCAATTCTGGGTCAGGGCACATACCTGGGTTGCAAGCTCGATCCCCAGCAGGGGCTGCAGAAGGTAGCCAATCAATGATTCTCTCTCATGATTGATGTTTCTATCTCTCCCTCTCCCTCTCTGAAATCAATAAAAAGATATTAATGGTAGAAGCTTGAAAAC